AAAAAATTAAAAAAAAAAAAAAAAAAAAAAGCCTAACAGCCCCAACCAAACGATTGAACGAGGCCGAAGCTCACGTTGTACACGTTTGGCGTCAGCTGCCGTACTATCTCTCTCTGACAACATCTGGCGTCTGTCGTTTGACAGTGAGAGTTAGAGACTTTGTCTCTTTGGACTCAGCTTCTTTAACTTTTTATTGTCTCTTTCTCAGTCTTTCAGTTTCACGGTCTCTCAACTCTCAAGCTCTGACATTCTCACTCTCTCAGTCTCTCATAGTCTCACTCTCATAGTCTTACTCTCTTAGGCTTCAACTCTCTTCTCAGCAACGCTGTGATCTCGATCTCTCCTCGTCGTCGACACTCGGCAGTCGGTCTCTCCTTCTCGTCTCTCGATCTCTTTTTTATTTAATAAAACTGAAACGCAAGTGAATAAGGCAAGTATTTTGATGACATTTTTTTTTGCACTCTGAACCAGGATCATCTCTCTCCACTTTGCACTATGGACTCTCCACTACATTAATTGTGGCTAAATAGATGACATTATTTTTAACCATGGTTGGTTATGTGGCATTTTTTTTTAGAGAGAGTTTTTTAAATTAAAAAAAATTTTAAAATAGAAACCATCCTATGAGTTGTGAAAATTTTTTAGTGGGTTACACAACTTTTGATTGGGTAAAAAAAATCTCTCAACCAAAATCTAACACGGACTATGGTAGAGAAGGTTGAAGATTTTGAGGACCTTGAAGACTTAAAATATAGCCAATTCCTTTAATAACGAAATATTTTGAAGAGTTGAAGACTTTGAAGACTCCAAGAAGACATAAACGCTATTCAACTTTGAGAATAAACGCTATACCTTCGAATCAAATATACATATGAGAGAAGAATCAAAAGATCTTATTATAAATATTATAGTATCACAATATATAATCAATACAAATTAAAGTTTTATTCTACGAATTAAGTTTTTCAAGAAATCTCGGGTAAATAGATTGATACACTTGATGAAACAATCTCTACCTTTTGTCCCTTTTTTTTTTATCTTAACTTAGTAATGTTAATAGAATCTCAGCCACTTTAAGAGGAGCTCAATGGTGTACTTTGTTTCAGGGAAGAATTGTTGAGCATTGTTAGAGTCCTACCATGACTAGTTAAAAGGTAGATCATAGGTATATATAAATAAGAGATACTATTTTTATTCGTATGAGTCCTACAAAATCAAGAACAAAGCCATGAGAACTTGTGCTCAAGGTAGATAATATCATACCAATGTAGAACTTGGTATAGATGGGTGTCACATCAAGAACCAAAATAGTAGACATCCCTATTTCGTGATTAATTAATCAGTAGCATTGGGAAAAAAAAATGAAATAAATCCTAGCTTTTAGCTCTTTCGAATTTGCTTTTCAGTCATTAGTCTTCCCCCATGGTTTCAGCTCGCCCCACGATTTTAACTCGACTGTACGTTCTTTTATTTAGTTCTCTTTGGTCAACGTCCACTACAGCTGCGAACGTGACCTCCTGCGAGCATAGTTGCAGCATTTGTCCAGCATCAATGATTCAATAATTTAGTAGTGTTCTTTCTTCTCTTTGTCCTTGTACAAGACATTCTCATTAAAAGTCGCGTCACAAATGTTTCAGGATTTTTCTGTACTTGTCATTTCAAATCTCATACCCGAACATGTCAAAATCATAGCACTTCACAGCCTCTGTGTCAACCTTGTCACTCTTCTTTGGATCAACACGAACATACGCAATGCAATCAAAGCAAGTGCGAGTATTTGAATTCTTTTGATGTCCATATTTCTTCTGGCAACTTGAACTCCAAGAATACTAACGACCATCTATTGATCAAGTAAAGAAGAACGAGATTAAAGGAAAATTTGTTTCCCCCCACATGTTTGATGTCCATGAAGGAGAAAAACAACTCAACAAAGATCCATGCTTGCATTCTCGTAGTGAAGAATCTATTAAGATATCATATACACCTATGATCTACCTCCTTAACTAGTGAATGTAGGACTCTAACCATGCTCAACAATTCTTCCCTCAAACAAGGTGCACCATTGAGCTCCCCCTTAGAGTGGCTCAGATTCTATTAACATTACTAAGTTAAAATAAGAGTAAGGCTCTGATAGCATGTTAGGAACAACGAACCTCCACATTAGTATGATGGTGTCTATTTTGAGCATACGCTCTCATGGTTTTATTTTTTGTTTCCAAAAAATTCTCAAACCAATGGACACATAGTATCCCTTACTTATATAGACATGACCTTTTCCTTAATTGGCCAACCTAGACTTTCTCCTTAATTGGCCAATATAGACTTCACTTTAGCTAGCCAATGTAGACTCCAACACTCTACAACATTAAAAAGTTGACTTCAGATTTTGTAACTGTCTTGTCTTGTAAGCTTATAAGACATCACTTCTGTCTACGTGTGTACATGCATAACAAATTGTCTAACACATCACTTCTGTCTACGTGGGTACATGTATAACAAATTGTCTAATAGACTACCATTTTGTGTTCTTTTTAAGAGATCGATTGCATTACTATTGGTTTTTATTATGATTGGAATCGTTTAATCATGGGTTGAGAAAAATTCATATTTCAATGTCATTGAGCGATGTGATTTTGTTTTTAAAGAATGTGAATGATCCACAACATGAATTATTATATGGATCAAACCAATGGGATTTTCAAACATAAAACCAAAATGGTGTGAAAAAGACAATTTCAAATGGTTTTGTGAACTTGTTCATTGTGGAAATGATTAGTCTGTGGTTGGAGCACCAAGAGAAGCAGGTTCAGCACATATTTTAAGGTTTTTCTTTCGTAAAATGGTGGGTTTTATATTCGCACATTCAAACTTGATTGGTCCTTCGCTTACACTGTAAGTGAGGTCAATATCATAAACGTCCACACCTTCACATGGTAAGCTACTACTGCAAACAAATTTGACTGCAACGGGAGTAACGAAAGTACCTTTAATATTCTTGAAATTAACGTTGCTTATCTTAATTTTTATGGAACCTAAACATAAAAGCAGTTGAGTTAGTTGAAAATGAATCATTAATAATTTAAATACATACCTTTCCGTTGCATTGGTTCCATGGACAATATTTTTAGTCTATAAAAATAAGATTCCTAACGTTATCCATTTCAATATCTTCAAAATGCATGTAAGAGGCTGAGAAAGCATCAACAGAATCTAGCCATGTTTTGATCCTTACACCATTGTCAGTATTTCTCAATTTACACGGTTATCCATTTCTTTGGTGTACTTTCCTAAACTTTCAATACTAATGTCATGTCCTGGTCCGCAAGTTACATTAGTAATAGTTATTTTTTTTGTTACTGTCTCCTACAAAAACACAATCATCTCCTGTTGCGATTGGTGTATCGAGAATGTAAATCATCGAGAATGTAAATATCTTATGACCTACTCACGTGAATTCTATCAGTGTTGGGACTTTCATCTGGTGCAGTAATTATCACGTGTTGAAAAGTAAGATTCTTGCAACTCAAAAGATTGATGTGGAAATTCTTACTATTCAAGGAAGTTATATCCTTCCCTATAGAATAAGTGATCAAAAACTCTTGTACTTGACAACGTTAACTGATCAACATATTGAAAAATAACCAATTCCTCTCCTTCTCGGTGGAAGGAGCTTGTAATGTTCCTTCAACCTAAACCTCAATAGAATTCTTGCAAAGACCGTGGGAGCAATTGACGCACATGCTTCCTTCGATGCATTTGCTAATGCCAGTAAATTTAATTGTTTCATAAGATAAAAACCCTTTTCATAAAATAATTTTTTTTTATCAATATATTTATCGATGTAATGTATTCCCAATTGATGCTAATAATAACAACAAAGGTGATAATAACACAATGATTGATCTCAATACCACCATTTTTTATTTCTTTACTTTGTGCTATCTTCTCTTTGATCATATAGTTTTGAAAAGGGTAAGGATCAAAACATGGCCAAGTTAATCTCAAAGTATTGAAATGGTTTAAGTCAACAATTCGGTCATTAGAGACCAAAAATATCGAAATGTATGGGTTGAAATTATGCTTAATTGAGTTTAAAACTTATTTAACTTCTAGAAATATTTTTAAACAAAAAGGGTAAAATTAAAAGTAAATTTATGTCAATAATATTTTTTTTTTTTCATGTTTAGGTTTCATTAAAAATTAAGATACTTGCATAATTGAGATGTCAAGTTATTTCATATCAAGATGATCTGAATGTATTAAATGCTATGATGCAATTATGGCAAGGATAATTTTCCAAAGACACAAGCCTAGTTATACTTTTAAATAGTAAAATAGGCGTTCTATTGTAACCCTATTTTTTATTTGAAATAAGGACCCTTCCCTATCACTAACTATTGTCGGCATGAAAATAGGAAGATTGTCATTCCAGAAGGTTAAAGGAGAGAAAAAAACAATGGTTAAAATTTCCCACATGATTGGACTCTTCATGGCTGACATGTTTTTAATTGTTGGAGCATACGATGTTCTTCTTGGCGCCTACTACGGCCTTTTAGGTGACAACTTATCATCCCCAGCGTCAGTGGTGCAACTCTGTCGAAAATACAACATTTCCCGCGTTCGATTGGAAGTTTCAAACATCGATGTTATAGAAGCGTTTCGTGGCACAGAAATTGATTTTGTTAGATAAAACCTGAGTTTTACCGTTTTTCTTATTCACACGATTTCAGAAAATCGTCAGTTTGACCATTTGACAAATCACGTCGAATGGATCACCATAGTTAGACTGAAATTTTGTAGGGAGTGGCACAGATTTAGTTGGCCACTCTCAGCCAATTTTAGAATCTTTTTTACTTTAAATAAGGATATTTGTTCGGAAAATAAAACAACCTCAACGCAGTCAGAGTTATTTTTCTCTCTCCTTTTTGTTACGCATTTTCCCAATTTCCTCTCACCGAAATTCTGTGAAAACCAACAGATTTATCTTTAGGTGTCCCCAACGACATGTTACCAAACATGGCGACCAATAAGACTTTGGTTGAGGAGTGGTTTAACACCTACGTCGAGCCGTATGTTAACGATTACATTATCAATTATATCGTTGTCGGTGACAAGGCCATCCCTGGCCTCGACGACAACATATTGCCTGTCATGAAATCCCTTCAAGATCTCCTCAACGCTCACTACTTCGGAGAAGCGAAACTCACCACATTGGTTGGTTTCAACGCATTGGCTGTTACAAACCCTCCATCCAGCGGCGCGTTCAACCCGGCCATTGTTGAGAACATGAGAGGAATCCTCGAGTTCTTACGAGGAGAAGGGTCTCCTCTGATGGTTAGCGTATATACGTATGATCAATATGTTTATGGTGGTAATAGAAGCTTGGGTTATGCGACACTTAGTGAACAAAACTCGTTGGTTCGTGATGGGATGTTGAGTTATAATAACTTGTTTGATGAAATGGTGGATGCGTTTTATGCAGCCATAGATAAGGAAAATGTTGGAGATGTGGCCATTGTTATTGGGGAAACTGGTTGGCCTACTTGTGGGAATTATAACGCTACGACACCGTTACTTGCAGCGGAGTACAATCGGAACTTCAAGAGTCATATTAGCTCAGGAAAGGGGACACCCAGAAAAGAAAATATTTATATTGAAGGATTTATTAGGAGTATATTCAATGAGAATCAAAAGCCTGAAGGAGAGTCACGGTGTTATGGCATGTTCAACGTTGATTCTACACCTATTTACTCGCCAGTGTTTTAATTGGGTTAGATGTATCCTATGGTAAAATGGTGTTTTTCATGGGAAGTTTTTGGTACTAAATACTAAGATAGCTTGAAAAAATAACTTGTGTATTACTTCTATTCCTTCCCTTGTGTGTGAGCTTGTTTGTCTAATAAAAATATTATTAGTTTGTAATAGCCCGCTGACAATAAGAGAGAAAAGCCGTTGTACTATTCTTCTAGGTTAAAAAAAAGGTGGGGGAGGAAAAGAGAAAAGAAGAAAGAAGAAAAAAAAAGGAAAAAAAAGGAGAAGACAGAGGAGAGGGTGGAGCTGAGGAGATGAACGACGGAGCTTGAAGCGCTCATCAGCAACAGTGGGCCGAACGGTTGAGGAAGGGAGAACGCTGACGGTAAGTCCTAGTGGTGTGATTTTAGTTGTTGTTTTCCAAAACCCTAATACATTTCACTGGATCGGTGTACCTAGGTTATTGTCAAGGGAAGTTGGTGAGTCCTTGTGAAGAAGAATGCATGGGGTGTTGAGAGGAAAGAAAGATCAAGAAGAAGATGGGAAGAAGAGGCCAAAAACTGAGGGGGGCACAACCTGACCCAACCCGACCCACCTGTACAGAACCAAAACTTGATTTTTCCCATTTCACACCATTTAATTCGTCTTTATTCAAATTTAGGTACTTGACTCACACATTCCATAATGCGTTATTATAGGAAAATTACAAGCTTAGTCAAGGGGACACTTGAAGACTTGATAAAGTTTTGGGAAGTCTACAATCAGGTAAGTAACCACCTAGAGAAAGTTTTAAATAATTGCTTGTAGGAGTCGGTTTGGATTTGTGGCCAAACAATTTAGTACCGTATTTAGGAATAGATAAAGTTAGTTCATGGAGATGGTACTTCAATAATGTATGTGGTTGTACTTTGATTGTCGTTATGGTTATATAGTTTCATTGGCATGAATATGAAATTTTTATATTCATATTGAGTTAGATGGTATGTTTTTATGTTGAGTTAGATGGTTATCACGTGACTTAGTATGGCGACGTGTTGTTGTCGTGGTTCTTTGTTAGGCATTGGGTGTGGGGCTTGGGTAGCCCATTGTTACCCTTTGTGAGTTGAATCATTTATTAGGTGCTAGTTATCCTAAGTTATGAAGCACATAGATGACAATGTACCGTTTTCGTAGTCAACCCCAGTATATTACTGTGATAACACGTCAGAGGTGCTTAGTGGGACGAGCCATGACCTTTTACTGATCCAGCCGAGCGACATAGTGACAGGTAGTTACTGTTCCTAAGATAGGTAGTTTAACTGATCTGAGCCGACAAGGGCGTAAGACAGGTAGTGACTAACCCGGCCTAGAGAGGCACAGTGGCAGGTAGTTACTGATCTTAGTAACAGTTAGATGTTGCCAGGCATCACTAGGTCTCTAACTAGTGACTATTCGAGCACAAAACTTAGGATCCCGTGAATAAGGCTAAGTTCGACAAGAGCTTATGAGCAAGTTGCTTACTAGGTATTGTTTAAATACTCATTCTGTGTTGTTTCTATTTTTCAGGAGAAAAGTAGATCTGGGTCGGTGGCAGGGACGTGTGGAGTCGTGCAGCTGCAGAAGGGGGCTCTTAGATTGAGTCCTCTTCTCCCATGTCGTTTTGGTTATGATTTTGACGTTTTTGGAAAACCTGTGATATTTTGTAACCGTTTCTTTTTGTAACCTCTGTCTTCTCTCATATGTCTAATTATTTTTTTTTAATTATTTTTAGAAAATCATACTTATCTTCCCTATGTATTATATTAATTATTAAAATTTCATAAAATTCAAATATCAAACATTCACAAATAACACTATATGGTTAATCTTTAATTATAATTCAAATATTTTTAATTTTCCTAATAATCTTAAAAGTAAAGTTAGGGTTGGACGGTAACCTTATTTTTGGAGGGTAACTATTGCCACCATGAAATTGCAATGAAATGCAAGCTAGGTTTAGACAAGAACACGACAGTTTGTATCTATTAATTTCGTTTTAAATAGATGGTGATACCTTAAGGTTATTATTGGAGAACGTTCAAGGAGAGAAAAAAACTCTTTTCTTTTGATAATGACTCCCACATGTTGGACTCTTTATGGCTATGATGTCTTCTATCGTTGGAGAATTCGATCAGCGAGTTATCGACTTCTAATTTAAATTCTGATCATTGGACTTGGTAATCTATGAATGTTTTAGATTGTGTCCAATCTTGGAGGAGATCCAACAGCTGAATTTATGAACGTTCTAGATTGTGTCCAATCTTGGAGGAGATCCAACAGCTGGATTTATGAATGTTCTAGATTGTGTGCAATCTTGGAGGAGATCCAACCGGGATTTTGAGATTCCATGGCTTTTGTGCAGGTTACCGTGTAGGCTCTGGTTTTGAGCAGAATGGCAATTTCATAATTATTTATATCTTCAAGAGTATTTTGGTAATTTACCCTTATCTAAATATTTTATTATTATTATTCTCCAAAACTCTATAATTTTTTTTAAAACTTATTGTTGGCCATTTTTATTCCATTTATATTAGATGTTGACAACAAATGTAACCATTTATACTTTTAAAAATAAATGTTAAAAATAATTCATGTAAAACATTTATTTTTTATTAATTAAAGTTTCTTATATTCATTATCGAAACATATATATACTTCAGTTTAATATTATTATTTAATTTGTTTCAACGCAGTTATATTAATGACTAAAATCTTATAAAAATCAAATACCAAACATTCACAAATAACAATTTATCACTATTTTTTGGTTATAAATGTCAAATATTTTTAATTTTCATAATAATCTTAAGAGTAAAGTAGGTTAGATTGTATCCCTATTTTAGGATAGGTTGAATTAACGGGACAAAAAAAAAGTCAACACGTGAACTGACCTAATTTTTTTACTTTAAAAAAATTCAACCGATTCAAACGAAAAAATCTAACGCAACTTAACATTTATGGTTTGAATTGGATAATCTGAATTAGTTGGATTCTCTAGTCTTATGTATTCCTAGTTTATCTATTTTACTGTGTATGTTTTTTCGAACTTACCTAAAAGGACATAGCAACTGTTGTATTTCCCGAATGAAATCACAATGAAATTCAAGCCAGGTTTTGTAGATTTGTTAGTTTGGTGATCCGAGCAGCTTAAATGGAGTTCACCACATAACCCAACTAAACCGTTTAGTTTAATGTTGGGTTGCCGGGTTGTTTTTTTTTTATAATTATTTTAAAAAAAAATCATACTTATCTATCGTATGTGTTATATTAATGACTAAAATCTCATAAAACTCAAATATCAACTTACTCAAATCGAAAAGGTCTAACTCAACCTAACCTTTATGATTTGAGTGGAATAATCTGAATTGGTTGGACTCTCTAGTCATATGAACCCCTAGTTTTATCTATCTTACTCTGTATGGTTTGTCGAACTTCCTTAAAAGAACATAACAACTATTGCCAGACACTAAATATTTCCAACATGAAATTGCAATGACATCCAAGCCAGGTTTGGTAGACAACAACACGACAACTTGTGTCTATTAATTTCAATACCTTAAGGTTGTTGTTCGAGAAGTGAGAATATTTGGCTAATCCACCACACCTAAATGGTGTGAAAGTTATCTATTTATAATCAAACAAATTACAAGGATATGGGAAGAGTAATTAATGGAAATAATAATAAAGGTAAAGATACCTACGATAACCAACCATATTTGCCTTATAATAAAATATCAAATATGATATATATGGTAAACTATAATTTAGTACTAAATATCCTTAACACCCCCCGCAAGCTGAGCGTCGGATTTGAACGAACGTGAAACTTGAATCTGAAAAATTCAAAGAGAGATCGAGAAACATTTTTCGTGAAAATGTCGACAACCTTGTTCGGAGGAGGCATAGAGAAACACTTTCTTGGCCATTGAAAACTGCAGAGGAATCGTTGCTCAGCTGCGATGCTGCCTTGGCTTCGGCGAGAATATGTCTAACCCATGAAGAGGGATCGTAGCTCAGCGACAATGCTGCCTTGGCTTTAGTGAGAATGTCTAACCCAAGAAGTAGAAGGGGAAACCTGTTAGGATCGCTCAACAACATACACACTCGATCTAGATGAACACAAAGAACAGGATAGAGAAAATGCAAGGAGAATATTAGCAACACAAAGAACAGGATAGAGAAAATGCAAGGAGAATATTGGCTAAAGGTTTTGTATTGATAACTATGTACATTAAGAGAGTACAGAGAATATAGAAAGTACTTCAAAACTCTACTGATATATATATAGTTGAGTTTACTATATATAGCTTTATCATATTTAATCATCTACTATATATAGCTTTACCGGATATAGTTTTACAATGTATAACCGTTGACCAAGCTATAAATAAGTAGCAGGCTCCATAACCTAATAATTCTCCCATTTAGAGATTGATCTAGCCAACCAAAAATTTCATTCTCAAACGATCATTGCACCATACCAATTAAGGCTTTGTATAACCTCAATTTTCCAACATCAACACATTTTGTCAACATGTCTGCTGGATTCTTTGCACCCTCTATCTTCTCCAAGCACATATCACCTTCTTCCACTAACCTGCAAGTGAAATGGTATCGTCTTCTAATGTGTTTTGTCCTTGAATGATAGACTGAGTTTTTCACCCACTGTATGGCACTCTGACTATCTGTATAAAGAATCTTTTTGCACTGCTTCATGCCTAATTCTTCTAGATAGTCGGTCCTCCATATCATCTCCTTTCCAACTTCAGCTATTGCCATGTACTCAACCTTAGTAGATGAAAGAGCAACGCATTTCTGAAGCTTGGACATCCAACTCACTACTGTTCCATCTATAGTGTAGATATATCCAGATGTGCTCTTGCTAGAGTCTACATCTCCACTCAGATCAGCATCCAAAAAACCTTGCAGAACTACTTTGCCATTGCCATAACAAATTGAAGTATTGGATGTACCTCTTAGATATCTCAGAAGCCACTTCACAACTTCCCAATGTTCTTTCCCTAGTTTTCCATGTACTTGCTAACAACTCCTACTACATGTGTTATATTAGGTCTCAGATCATAGCATACATCAAACCCCCAACTACAGAAGCGTA